GGCATACCCGTGGGGCAAGAATAAATGAGACTGTCCCTATCTGCAGATAACACGATGATTTATCTACAAAATCCCAAGGAATGTACGGGAAAGCCCTGGAACCAATAAGTATATTCCACATGGTCACCGGACACAAGGCTGAGACACAAAAATCAGTCCCGTTGCTGTACTAACGAGGAGCATTTGGAAATGGAAAATAAAAGCACAGTATCCTTTAAAACGGCTCCAAAGGAAATGAAATGCTTTAGTACAAATGTAACAAAGCACAGGCAGGATGCACAGGCTGACAGTCACAAAATGCCGGTCAGAGAGGACCTTCTAAACCAGCGGTTCTCAACCTGTGGGTCGTGACCCCTTTGGGGGTCAAACAACCCTTTCACAGGGGTCGCCTAAGACCATCGGAAAACACACATATAATTACATATTGTTTTTGTGATTCATCACTATGCTTTAATGATGTTCAATTTGTAACAATGAAAATACATCCTGCATATCAGATATTTACATGACGATTCCTAACAGTAGCAACATTACAGTGATGAAGTAGCAACGAAAATAATGTTATGGTTGGGGGTCACCACAACATGAGGAACTGTATTAAAGGGTCGCAGCATTAGGAAGGTTGAGAACCACTGTAAATGAAGACATACCATGTTCATGGACTGTAAGACTCACCACAACAGAGATGTCTATTCTCTCCAAATTGATCTGTAGTTTTAATAAAATTGCTATAAAAATCCAAGCAAAGTTTTTTTATAGACACAGACAAACTTATTCTAAAATTTATAAGGAAAGGCACCGTTCCGGGAATAACTAAGAAATCTTGAAATTGTTTTCATCTATATTAAGGCCTACTATATGGCTACAGTAATCAACACAGTGTGATACTGGCAGAGGAGAGACAGACAGATCAGTGGGTGGAACAGAGAACCCAGAAATAGAACCATACTGATTTAAAAAAAAAATTTTAAGTTATTGATTTTTTGAGAGAGAGAGAGAGAGAGAGGGAGGAAGGGGGGGGGATGAAGAAACATTGATATTTTTTTTGTTCCGTTCATTTATTCCTTCCTTGGTTGATTCTTCTATGTGCCCTGACTGGGGACTCAACCAGCAACCATGACCTATCGGGACAATGCTCCAACCAACTGCGCTGCCCGGCCAGGGCCGACCCCACTGATTTTTGACTAAAGGTGCAAAAGCAAGTCAATGGAAGAAAGACAGTCTTTTCAACAGATGTTACTGGAACAATTTAATATACATAGGCCAAAAAAAAAAAAAAAGGGAAAAGAAAAGAAAAAAAACCCTTCACCTTATACAAATATTAATTCAAAATGCATCAGGGACTTAAATGCAATATGTAAAACTATAAAACCTTTAGAAAAAAAATAGGAAATCTTTGGGCTCTATGGCTAGACGAAGTGTTTTGAGACCTGACATCAAAAGCATGAGCCATAAAGGGAAAAACTGATGAAATGAGCTCATTAAAAGGGAAAACTTGGCTCCCTGAAAGTCGAGGGGATGAAAAGTCACCCTAGACCAGCGGTTCTCAACCTGTGGGTCGCGACCCCTTTGGGGGTCGAACGACCCTTTCACAGGGGTCGCCTAAGACCATTCTGCAGATCAGATATTTACATGACGATTCCTAACAGTAGCAACATGACAGTTATGGAGTAGCAACGAAAATAATTTTCTGGTTGGGGGTCACAACATGAGGAACTGTATTTAAAGGGCCAGAAGGTTGAGAACCACTGCAGACAGACCGGGAGAAAATACTTGCAAACCACGTATCTGTGCCGGGTGGCACCGAGCTCACGGAAAGGCGTTCCACACTGCGACCCACGAGGGCAATGTGGTCACACAGCAGCGCGGCGGCACTCACACCTACAGACGCCTGGACTGAAGAGGCGACACCGGTGGCCAAGTGCCGGCGGGAGTGTGGAGAAGCCGGCTCACTCCCCCAGGGCTGGTGAGGGTGTAAAACGGTGCACCACTTTGCAGACAGTGTCCTCACAAAACTGAACATGCAGCCCAGCCGGTGTGGCTCGGTGGTTGAGTGCTGACCTATGCACCAGGAGGTCAAGGTTTTGATTTTTGATTCCCAGTCAGGGCACATGCCCGGGTTGTGGGATTGATCTCCAGTGGGGGGCATGCAGGAGGCCGCCGATCCATGACTCTCTCATCATGGATGTTTCTCTCTCCCTTTCCCTTCCTCTTTAAAATCAATAAAAAAAATTTTTTTTTTAAAAAATCAATGGAAAAACATCCTTGGGTGAGGACTAACAAAAATAAATAAATAAAAGGAAAAAGAAAATCACAAAAAACTAAAAAACAAAACTGAACATGCAGCTACCATACAACTGACCAATTTTATCCCGGATACACGAAAACTGATGTACATACCAAAACATGTACAGAAGTGTTCACAGATTTGCTCATACGAGACAGAAACGGGAAAGGACCCAGATGTTCCCCAACAGGTAAACGGTGCACGGTGGTAAATCCACACCACGGATGCTGATCAGCAATAAAAAAACAGAAACGTCTGGTGATTGACACATGAAACAACGTGGGTGAATCCCCAGGGAGTTCAGCTGAGTGCGAAAAGCCAATTCCAAAAGATCACATTTTGCCTGTTTTGCGTATATAATATCCTTGAAGTGGCAGAAGTATACAATCGAGAGCAGACAGGTCAGTGCCAGGGCAGGGAGTGGCTATAAAAGGCAACATGAGGCAGCCTTAAGGTGATGGAATGTTCTGTACCTTTCCCCACGTCAACATCCCGGCTGCAACGCTGCACTGCAGTTTCGCAAGATACTTCCACCGAGGCTGACTAGGTGGAGGGGACATGATGTCTGTATTATTTCTTACAACTGCATAGGACTCTGTGATTATTTCAAAATTAAAAAAAAAAAAGACCAGGTTCCCAGCTCTGCCACCTACTAATTAGGTAACTGGCCTTGAATTGAACCCCCGATCTCCGAATTCTCCTGGCTAAATGGCACGGAGCCAGCGGAAGTGCCATGGGAGGTGAATGCGGGTGTGAGGGCCTGGCCATGAGCTTGGCGCGCAGCTAGCGCTTTACAAACAGCCTGTTGCCACGAGACCTTCCTTAGGCACAAATACTGTTCTGAACAGCGTCATTCCACTGTCCCCCAGCGAAGCCACCCCAAGCCTCTCCCCTGAGGGATCCGACCGAACGAGCTACTGAAATAGTCCCAAGAAATGAAGTGAGCTTCACACTAGGAACTGCAATTAGTGAAAATCGTGGGAAGGAAACTGGGTGCTGGTTCAACAATCCCGTGTGTGTTGCTAAGTCAGTGAGGCTCATGTTTCTATGCGTCGGGAAAAGCTTAAGACTGAGCTTCCTAAAACACATTTCCACACCGATCCAGACGAAGATTCTGTGTTTTCCAAAGTATCTTCTCTGCCTCTCGAGTTTAAAGGAACGAGGAGACAGTCGGCCGGATCTTTGTGCCCGGCTTGGAGGCCAGAAAAGCAGCAGAAAGCATCGCTGGCGGGGGACACAGAAAGACAATCAAGTGCACTTTACCCCAGAGGACGAGGGGAATTTCAAACACACAGCGGTGGGTCCCGGAATCGCCCCGGGCACCCGGCCTCGGAGGGCTGGGCCGGCTGACTCACGAGGGGCTTTGGAAAGAGGTGACGAGGGAAGGGGAGGTTTTATCACTCAGGTCGCTCTCTCCCTGATCCTAAAAGGGCTATTTCTACGACAGTGAAATATTTCAGTAACAGACGCATCACGTGGGGATGCGGGCGCGGGACTCCGGATGCGGGCCTGGACGCTGGCAGCCCAGGGTCCCAGGATCCCAGCACCCAGGCCCCGGCGAGGAGCCCTAGCCGGCCAAGGCCAGAGCTTCCTGGGGGTGAGGAGGGAAAACGTGCCGGAGGGAAGGGAGCTACGCCCCTGTCTAACTTTAAGTCCCTCGGGCACACAAACCTCGCCTCCAGGCTGCGGCCTCTACCTCGGCTTCCAGACAACCCTCCTCAACCTGTAATTTGGTTCCCACCACCAGGCCTGGGGAGGGCGGTGAAGGGACAGGCAGGGGAGATGAGAACCTGAAACAAGGGAAATGGGTATCCAGGGGCATTCTGGGCGGGTCCCCCAGACCCCGCACACACAGGCTAGGGAGACACCGGGACCAGACTCTGTCCATCTATAGGTTTCTTGTTTTTCCCCCCAATAAATTGTAAGGAGTAAAATCGGAGCAAGAGACAGAGGAGAACCTGGAGACCCACGGCACCTAAGACGTGTATTAAAGGGAGGCGATTGTATCCGGACGCAAACAAACAAAGCAACTAGGTGCGCGCAGAGGGGGTGGGAACAGGCTGGTACCCGAGACGCGAGGGGTCATGGGTTCCCGGCTGATGCGGGGAGACATGCGCTCAAGCTCGGTCTCACCCGACGGCACCCCGCAGGGCGGCAGGGGCCCAGGTGGACGCTGGACCACCGATCGCTGGTGAGGCGGGGACGTCCAGGCGCCCCCATGTCCTACCAGGTACACGGCTGACCTTTTCCGGATAAACACTCGGCATCGAGGCTGCGGCCCGTTCCTCTCGCGTTCCCGGCGCTCGTCTACGCTCACCGGGAGGGCAGGGCAGGCTCCCCG